CCGGCCGCCTGGCCGCTGCGGGCTGGGCACTGTCCACCCCGGCCTGCCGGGCATTCCCCGGGCCGCAGGGCTAGAGGCGGGAGGGCCCCTGCAGGACAGGCCGGGCACTGGGAGGTGGGGCCAGGCTCTGGCCTCCCAGGGTGGACGGCGCTGCCCTGTGGGCGTGAGGCCCCACAGATTCAGGGGGTGGGAGCCGGGCGGTTCCTTTGGGGGACGTCTCCGCCGGGTGAGCACCCCAGGGCTGGAGCGAGGCTCCCGGGGCAGCTGGGCGGTGACGCCACGGTCAGCTGCAGCGGCACTGCGACCCGGTCACCTGGCCTGAGAGGGCGCAGAGACCACCAGGCCCCTCTCGCCTGCTGGGGCAGCACCTCGCCCAGAAAGGCCAGCGGCGAGGGTGTAGGGTGGGCACAGGCGTCACCGCCGCACAGCCCCGGAGCTGGGCCCACAGACCCCCACAGGCGGGACCCCGCTGACCAGCCGGGGCTGCTGTCCTGCGCGGACGCCGGCCAGGGTGTGCGCCAGCTGGGGCCTCCGGCGCCTCCCCAGGTACCTCCTGTACGACGTCAACCCGCCCGAGGGCTTCAACCTGCGCCGCGACGTGTACATCCGCGTGGCCTCCCTGCTCAAGACGCTGCTGGCCACGGAGCCGTGGGTGCTGGTGCTGCCCCCCTGGGGGCGTCTCTACCATTGGCACAGCTCCGACATCCGCCAGGTCCGCCTGCCCTGGGCCGAGTTCTTCGACCTCCCCAGCCTGGCGCGCAACATCCCGGTCCTGGAGTTCGAGCAGTTCGTGGCGGGTGAGCGGCCTCCCGGCTCCGCCCAGTCTCGCGTCTGGCGGGCAGAGGGGCTGCCCACGGCGGGGCCCCTCATCCCTGCGCTGCCTGCGGGGGCTGGGGGAGGGAGCACGCGGTGCCTCACGGAGGCCGGAGGGAGCTGCCGCCCTGCCAGGACTCAGCCGGCCAGGTGCTGCCCTTCCCCGTGGGCGGCCGGGCCCTGAGCTGGTGGACAGGGTCAGCCTGGGGACGGTCCCCACAGCCGGAGCAGGGCACGTCACGGGGTGCCCGCCAGAGAGGCTGCCAGGGCTGGGGTGTCCACTCGCTGCCGGCCGAGTGCCCTCACGGGGCAGCGGAGGACCCCGGGAGGGGCCAGGGCGCAGCTGCGGGGGCTGGGGGAGGGCCGTGGCCTGCCACACGGGCCAGGGACGACCGCGGTGAGGCTGGTGGCACTGGGGCGGGGGTGAAGTCAGGGCGACCCTGCGGCCCCTTGTGTCCTGCGTTGTGCCCCGTCTGCCGCTTGCCAGCCCCAGGAGGCGGGCGCTGGCCGAGCCCTCGCGCTCTTTTGCAGAGTCCGGCGGGCCCTTTATCGACCAGGTGTTCGTGCTGCAGGGCTACGCCGAGGGCTGGAAGGAGGGCAGCTGGGAGGAGAAGGTGGACCCCCGGCCCTGCGTGGACCCGCCGCAGTACACGCAGGACAAGCATGGGTACCACAGGTGGGCGCGGCCCCGGCGGCCTGCTGACCACTGTGGCCGGGGTTAGCCGTGTCCTGAGGCGGCGTCCGGCCCCCAGAGGCACCACAGCCCCGTCCTGGTGCCGCCCAGTGCCGCCGGCAGCTGCCCTCCAGGAGCGGGAGCGGGAGCGGGAGGCGGGGAGCAGGCGGCCCCCCGGGGCCGGCAGCCGGCGCTCACGCCGCTTCCTGTCGCAGGGGATGGTTCTGGGGCTACGGCGAGACCAGGGGGCTGAACGTGTCCTGCCTGTCCGTGCAGGGCTCCGCGTCCATCATGGCGCCTGTGCTCCTGAGAAACACGTCTGCCCGGTGAGTGCCCGCGCCGACGCCCACACCCTGCGGGTGGGCCTGTGGCGAGCCCCGGCTGGGGCCGCCCCAGGCGCACCCTGACCGACTGTCCTTGGCCGCCCCCTGCGCAGGTGGGGACACAGCCTGCCTGTGGGTGTGGGGGCAGGGGCCGCCCCTTGCGCAAACAGGCCCTGCGCGGCCCTGCCAGGCCCTGCCCCCAAGGGGTGCGGCTCAGCGGGGGCACAGGCCGGGGCTGCCACCCCAGGGGAGGGGGCTGGGGTGCCCCCCAAAGGGAGCAGGCCCTGAGGCCACGTACATGGGGGCCTCGCTGCACGTGGTCTGGGCGCTCTGACTGCGGTCACCAGCAGGCCTGCCCCACGGCCGCGGCCAGGGCGGGGCCGCCTGGACGGGAGGGCCGCGCCTGCCGCGTCTTCCAAGGGGCGCGGGGCCGGACGCCCGCACCTGCCCTCGCGGAGCCGTCCACAGAGGTCACCCGTGCCCAACAGGTCCGTGATGCTGGACAGAGCCGAGAATCTGCTGCACGACCACTACGGGGGGAAGGAGTACTGGGACGTGAGTGGCCGGGCCCGCCCGGGCCGCCTCTCCAGACCCAGCGGCCCACTGCGCGGCTCCCCGGCCGCGGCGCGCGCTCAGGGCCGCTCTCCCGCAGACCCGCCGCAGCATGGTGCTGGCCCGGCACCTGCGGGCCGCCGGGGATGCCTTCCGGAGCCGCCACCTCAACTCCACGGATGAGGCGGACGGGACCCCCTTTGAGGAGGACTGGACCCGCGTGAAGGTGGGCGCGGCCCCTGGCCAAGGCCCAGAGCCCGGCCGCACCCTTGGCCTCCAGCCGCGGACGGGACTGACCCCACCCCACCCTCTAGGCCCAGCCGGGCTCCTCGCGGGGGGGCCCGTACCTCGGCGTCCACCTGCGGCGGAAGGACTTCGTCTGGGGCCACAGGAAGGACGTGCCCAGCCTGGCTGGTGCCGCACGCCAGATCCGTGGCCTGATGGACACCCATGGGCTGGACAAAGTGTTCGTGGCCACAGACGCCGTCAAGGCCGGTAGGCGGGTCTCCCCAGCGCAGGCCCCGCCCCCAGCTCCAGTGGGCGGGTCTCCCCAG